GCGGCGAATTCAGCGATTTTATGTAGGTCACGACCAATGCACAGAAATGACGAATGCAATGTCCAAATATGGAATATGGCATTTCACAAAGTACATAGAGGTTACACAAAGTTAATAGCATTGTTTCATCTTACGTGATTGAAACAGTAGGGGCCTGCGGAGAGGGAAAATCCATTTCATGTTTTTTTTAATAGGACATGTATCCCACACGGGCACCACACACTGACAAGAGCGTACGAAGCCGTCTCCACATGCCGCTTCAATTGAGAGTGTAACAAGCACGTTCTAATGATTTAACGCCATTCAGTAAAATACTAGCATTCCCTACGGGTATGCTCACCGTGCCAGTTACAATAAAACCTGGTTGCAATCTACCCGAAGTATTTATACTCTGAAAAGGGCACCACATGACATTAAATAGTTTTACAGCTTGTTCTTTAGAAGCTACCTGATTAGTCTGAAAATCAAGTTGTTTTACTACCCTTAGAAACACGTCGTACCCCGTACTATATATATGTTGCACGCATAGACGGTGCTCCTAGTAGTCGACAAAACGTGCCTAATACGCGATAAGTTGTACTATCTGCTTTTAGGATAATAACTTGAATCGAGTTGCCGACTAGAATTCTTTATTTTCAGCGCTATCTTCGTAAAAAAGATTATCTTTAGGACCTAAATAGGCTATGTCGTGACATTTATGTTTGTTTCTCTGCCTTTGAGCTCCTTTTTCTTTTATTTAGTTTTCGCAAAAGTCTAGTTTTTGAATATAACGTTCCATCCTTATTTGAAAACCAAATTGAATTTCAGCCGCGAAAATTACTTTTAACATACATACAGAAATTCGTTTATTTGATTCGCCAGATTTGGTGCGCTTGCATTGCTATTAGAAATCGCGTGACGACGCATTGGAATCCCGGATTTGATGGAATCAATCTAGGAATCAACATAAACTCGGTCACACCACGGTTTTAGTACTCGTGGTCACACCATAACAAAACGTGATAAATCGCCACTCTTCACTTGTTGCTACCCTATTACTAGGAGATTACGCGAGACGCTGATGTAGACTGGAGTCGTTAAACTCGGGGTCAACTTACCTCAAACAATTGTTCATCGTTATCGTCAAACACACATCCATCTGTTCTGTTCACGATTTGAGCAACGCCTATAAAAAGATGAGATATGAATGAAATGGGAGATTGTTACTAAGCAACAGGTAAACTCTTCATCGCTATTATCAACATGAATTAATTAGGAAATATGGATAACATTGACTATTATGTTTGGCATTGCAATTTATCGTAAAATATAAACGATGTGTACCTAGTGCACAAATTAGTTCGATAGAATAAGTAACTGCGCATGTGCGTATCTGCTTCCTTTTAACGGTACGTACCAAATATAAACAAAGTCACCCCTATTGTCTCGTTAACACAAGCTATGAAATTCCTTCTGACATGATAACTATAGTCATCAATATTTATCAAATAATGAAACGTCAATTAAACAAAAAATCGAGTTTTTACGGAAATCTTACCATCATACTGTGTTGCGCATGCGTGATATGACAAAGTCGAGTGTCACGTTCTGCTTAGCAACCGCCTTAGGATTTACACTGTGCATTACTGTATTATTGATACATTCTACGCGATTACAGTGTATTAGTTGAACTCGAGTTGAACGAGTCGGGCGTGAGGTTTGTTGCCAAAACAATATTCCGTAACGATGACCTGCACACAGAATTATGCAACTCGATTCACTCATTATACAGGTATTCGCTCATCTAGACATCAACCCTCTTAGGATACGAGGTAATTGAGAACAATTCACACGCCGGATGAAATGTACACGTTAGTATTATTAAATTTGCGGGGTACTGATAGCAACATTGACAGTGACGCATTTATCTACAGATTATGCACACGATTTGAACTGGTGGTCATTGGAAAATCTCAAACGTTATAAATTATTCATATCGAAATCTCGCGTTTCTAATTTATGTTATAATCTTTTATTACATTGTTTATTCAGGGTAGTCATGGCGATGAAATTCGTAGTTTCTAGAAGATTACTCGCAACGCTAAATGTTGACAACACTGGTAAACTTTGTAGCCATTGTTTACATATCTCTCAGCCCCCCCCCAAGTCAACAGCCAGACAATAACTCCTGAAATATCTTTGTTCTACAATTAACGCACACATAAATAGCTACGTCAGATGGGAAATATATTTATGAGTGTAGAATAGTAAACAAAAAATATGTAGAAATGATTGTTTCCCCCACGAACAAAAAATGTATAAACTGCAAGGTATGCTGGGAAAGGATGTGGCCTTTGCTGTCACTCATTCTCAGTAAATCTTTTTCTAAAAACTCAATCGTCCCTCATCCAATTCCTAAATGCACAAAAAACAAAATTAATATATACTATATTTAAGTACTATTTTTCTTTTACCTTTCTGACAAAGACAATGTATTACTATAATATTGACACTGCATTTTGGTAGGCTCTAATGTGTTGCCCTGTGTCTGTAAGACATGTTACGATGGGCGATGTTTACGTTTCACAATCTGAAGGGGACATATCAGCGTCCGCCGTTTCTATTATCTGTGACATGTATGTATTAAAGCATAGACCCTCCAGTGGAGGGTCTATGATTAAAGTTTATTTGTGTGTTTATTTTTAGACGTTAAATTTGTTTATGCTCAGACAACTATTTATTTATCTGAGGTTTATGTTTGGCCCTTATGTGGCAGGTGTGGAACAAACTAGAGCTTTTTCCGCCCTAGATTTGACTGAAACAGCTTCGATAAATCTTTTTTTTGTGATTCGTGGTAGACAATCAAATTTACCTACACTGAAACCTGTAAATATCCATGAATATACCCCCCTCTTATGCGTTATTGAGTTGAAGTGCTCTGCCTGCTGTTTGGTTTCAAATGATGAAATGACATACTAACATATATGTTTATCAGTAATGTCTAATAATATAAACGAAATATTCTCGGACGGACATCCGGGCATTTTGACTGCCTGACAACCACAGAAGCTTGGACACAGCCCATAGAAAACATGGCACAGTGTGCGCGTCCAAACAATATGGAACGTTATATGACGTAGCTCTGCCTCCCAGAAAAATAACATAACATACAAATAAAAACGTTCCACATTTTAGACAATTTGATGATAACGGATTTGAATATAATGAAAAGTTTACGCTGCTTAGTTAATTAGTAGTTTGCGCCATTTGACCTTCATGACTGAAATTTGTATGACACGCTGTTTGACTTTGTACAAGTTAACAAGATATGCCTGTTTCCCTGGACAATTGGTAGTAAGTGAAAATTCATCTCAGAAATCGTATACTAATGTAAGTTAGTGAAAAAAAGTTTCTAAAGTGATGACACGTGACATTCGTCATTCAATCCGCCATGTTTATTCATCCTCGTTCGCAGTCAGTTGTGTTATAATGACTCAAATATTCCTTCCGATATAAATCTACAACTTCAGGACGCAAAATCCAGCAATATACTTTATAGTAGATCGCGCTCACCGAAAAACGAACGAGCCTACATGTTTCTGAGGTAATCGAACATAACATCACGCGCCCATAAATTGTTTATACGAGATCATATCCGGGCGGTTTACTATCACCGAAGTCGGACTAATGGCGGCTAAAGACGTAAAACAAACCACGTCCGTAAATACAGCCGTCATATTACTATATGCCTACTTAATGTCAAAACACAACGAGAACGTTTAAACACCAATGACGTCACGCAACGCCAGTATATGAATCATTTTGTTGCAATGACGTCATACAAAGACAGCTCGGCAACAGTATTCTAGCAACGTCACGCTGTAACCGTTAAGACTGAAAGTCCCGTGACCTACATTAATAAACAAAACAAACTTATTACCAACACAAATCAAGATCCATGAGTTATATATACTCAATGGGCTTGAATTGCGATAACCATATTAACACAGTGCCATTCTGAAAGTTCAAAGTTCAATATTTCTTTTAAAGATGAGAATTGTGATAAATACGATTTGTTAGCTTCGTTTTTTCATGCTTAAAACGTGATTGCTTGAACTTTTAGTCCATTATATATGTGACAATTTATGGTTTGCCCTACAGGAGTTAAATCCACACGTTGTTATGCAGTGAATCTAAGATATGATCGACCTTTAAATTAAAAGTGTGATATTTTAGAAATTGTGTTTGAGAAGGAGCATATTCACGCTTTCATAACCCGACGTTTACTCCGTGATTTATGAATAGTCATTAAATTATTACTTGGCAATAGCCATCTGTACACGTAGTACAATAACCAATACATTTGTGTACAATACATTCACTTACAATACATTCGTGCATTACTAATACATTCACTGACAATACATTCGTACATTACTAATACATTCACTGACAATACATTCGTACATTACTAATACATTCACTGAAATACATTCGTACATTACTAATACATTAACTGACAATACATTCGTACATTACTAATACATTCACTGACAATACATTCGTACATTACTATGCATTCACTGACAATACATTATTACATTACTATACATTCGCTGACAATACATTCGTACATTACTAATACATTCGCTGACAATACATTCGTACATTACTAATACATTCACTGACAATACATTCTTACATTACTAATACATTCACTGACAATACATTCTTACATTACTAATACATTTACTGACAATACATTCGTACATTACTAATACATTCACTGACAATACATTCACTGACAATACATTCGTACATTACTAATACATTCACTGACAATACATTCTTACATTACTAATACATTCACTGACAATACATTCGTACACTACTAATACATTCACTGACAATACATTCGTACATTACTAATACATTCACTGACAATACATTCGTACATTGCTAATACAATCACTGACAATACATTCTTACAATACTATACAGTCACTGACAATACATTTGTACATTACTAATACATTCACTGACTAATTCAACACTAATACATATATACAATACCAATACATATGTACAATACAAATACATATGTACAATACCAATACATATATACAATACCAATACATCTGTACAATACCAATACATGCATACAACACCAATACATATATACAATACCAATACATGTATACAATACCAATACATATGTACAATACCAATACATGTATGCAATACCAATACATATGTACAATACCAATACATATGTACAATACCAATACATATGTACTATACCAATACATATGTACAATACCAATACATATATACAATACCAATACATATATAAAATACCAATACATATGTACAATACCAATACATATATACAATACCAATACATATATAAAATACCAATACATATGTACAATACTAATACATGTATGCAATACCAATACATGTATACAATACTAATAAATGTATACAATACTAATACATGTATACAATACCAATACATATGTACAATACAAATACATGTATACAATACCAATACATGTATACAATACCAATACATATATACAAAACCAATACATATGTACAATACCAATACATACATACATACATACAATACCAATACATATATACAATACCAATACATATGTACAATACCAATACATATATGCAATACCAATACATATATACGATACCAATACATATGTACAATACCAATACATATGTACAATACCAATAAATATGTACAATACCAATACATATATACAATACCAATACATATATACAATACCAATACCAATACATATGTACATTGCTAATACATGTGTACAATACTAATAACTATGTAGAATACAACTACATATATACAAAAGCAATACATATGTACAATACCAATACATATGTACATTGCTAATACATGTGTACAATATTAATAACTATGTAGAATACAAATACATACATATATTACAAATACGTTAATTACCTATTATTCTGAACTTATTGTCCCTGATTGGCATACAAAGAATGGACCGCGTACGAAATCCCGAATCATTGTCTTGATCTGAATCATATCTTGGATCATTTTGTGCGTCGTTGATATTCAACGTGTCACCAGTTTCCGCCACGTGTTTCACAACACCATTGATTAGCTTGACTTCCCCGGTACTGTAACTTGTATCAGAGTGGCCATTAACTGCTGTTGTCATTTCGAACATTCTGGTAAACGTCA